TGCATTTCTCCTCTCCTCCAGCCATTCATTAAAGCCAGACTCTTTTTTTTGTTTGTTTGTTTTGTTTTTTCGAGACAGGGCTTCCCTGTGGTTTTGGAGGCTGTCCTGGAACTAGCTCTTGTAGACCAGGCTAGTCTCGAACTAACAGTGATCCAACTGCCTCTGCCTCCCGAGTGCTCGGTTTAAAGGCGTGCACCATCACCGCCCAGCCACTGTGTTTTAAAACTTAAAAAACAGCAAAAAATACCGAGAATAGTGAGACTGCCTTTTGATAAGTGGTTAAAGAACTTCCTAAGTCATTATTCTAAGAATATGCTTTTGGACTGTTTACAAAATTCATGTGAATACTGACCCAAATTCTACTGTCTTAGAATTTGTATTGAGTGATTTAAGATCTTTCGTCCTTCCTTCCTTCCTTCCTTCCTTTCTTTCTTTTCTTTCTTTCTTTCTTTCTTTCTTTCTTTCTTTCTTTCTTTCTTTCTTAAGAAAGGGTTTCTCTGTGGCTTTGGAGATTGTCCTGGAACCAGCTCTGCTAAAACAGACTGGTCTCAAAGTCACAGAGATCTGCTTTCCTCTGCCTCCCATGGGCTGGGATTAAAGGCGTGTGCCACCAATTCTTGACTGGATTTTTCTTTTTTAAAGACAGGGTTTCTTAGTACAACATCCCTGGATGTCCTGGAACTTGCTTGGTAGACTAGCCTTACCTCAAATTCAGAGACCTGCCAGCCTCTGTTTACCAAACACTGGGATTAAAGGAGTGTCCCAGCACACCCAGCTGCCTGAATAATTTTCGTGGTAAGACTGTTTTCTCAAATCAACCTTATTTCTACTGTTACCCAGTTTTCCAGATTTCTTTTATTCTCCTAACTATTATATATTACTTGGCCTGACAATATTATCTCCAAATGAGACATTAAGAAGTAGCATATTGAACGTTTCTGTGGTAGCTCGGGTGCCATGTTAGGACGAATGGGAAGGAGGAGAAGCGCTTAAAGCAGCTGCGCGCTGGTGCGGGACTGGGTTTGCCCTGGGGCTGAGGCAGGCCTGTCCCTCCCGCCTTGGTGGATCATGCTCAGGGCAGCAGAGGCAGCAGTGGTCGCGGCTGGGGTGGGGGAGTGACTGGGCGGTGCCTGCGCAGGAGATGATGCCTTTTCCAGTTACAATGCAGGGATCACAACAAAGGCAGCCGCCACAGAGGCACTATGGCATTACCTCTCCTATCAGCTTAGCAGCCCCCATGGAGACTGACAGCCTACTCACACAGAAACTCATCGAGAATCTGAAGCCCTTTGGGGTTTTTGAAGAAGAAGAGGAACTGCAGCGCAGGATTTTAATTTTGGGAAAATTAAATAACCTGGTGAAAGAATGGATACGAGAAATCAGTGAAAGCAAGAATCTTCCACAATCTGTAATTGAAAATGTTGGGGGAAAATTTTTACATTGGTATCTTATATACTAGGAGTACATACGAAAGATGCTGGTATTGATGCATTGTGTGTTGCACCAAGACATGTTGATTGGAGTGATTTTTAACTTCATTCTATGATAAATTGAAATTACAAGAGGTAGTAAAAGACTTAAGAGCTGTTGAAGAAGCATTTGTCCCAGTTATTAAACTCTGTTTTGATGGAATAGAGATTGATATTTTGTTTGCAAGATTAGCACTGCAGACTATTCTACAAGATTTGGACCTACGAGATGACAGTCTACTTAAAAACCTAGATATAAGATGCATAAGAAGCCTTAATGGTTGAAGGGTAACCGATGAGATTTTACATCTAGTACCAAAGATTGACAACTTCAGGTTAACTCTGAGAGCCATCAAACTTTGGGCCAAACGGCACAACATCTATTCCAATATATTAGGTTTCCTCGGTGGTGTTTCCTGGGCTATGCTAGTA